GACAGGCTGAGGGAGCTGGGGTTGTTCAGCCTGGAGAAGAGGAGGCTCCGGGGAGACCTAATAGCAGCCTTCCAGTACCTGAAGGGAGCCTACAGGAAGGCTGGGGAGAGCCTGTTTAGAAAGGCCTGCAGTGACAGGACGAGGGGCAATGGCTTCAAGCTGGAGGGGAACAGATTTAGACTGGAGATGAGGAGAGGGTTCTTCACTGTGAGGGTGGTGGAGCACTGGAACAGGTTGCCCAGGGAGGTGGTTGAGGCCCCTTCCCTGGAGATATTCAAGGAGAGGCTCGATGAGGCCCTGGGCAACCTGGTCTAGTTGGGGGTGTCCCTGCTGACTGCGGGGGGGTCGGACTAGATGGCCTTTGGAGGTCCCTTCCGGCCTGGGCAACTCTATGATTCTATGATACTTGGTGAGATGCCAGAGCTGCTTTCTCCCCCTTCTCCCTTGGGGTTGGGAGTTCTTGCCGAGGCTTTGAGGAGCAGAACAGGAGGCCCCAGCTCTGCCTTTCTCCCCGTGTCAGGGCTTTATGGAGGAGCAACCTCTTGCCAGCTTGCTGCATCCCAGGCTCGCCTGGGGCTCCGGCACAAAAGCTCCCTTTCACCTTGGAGCATCCGGAAAACATAATGGGGCAGCAATTAGTGGGGCGGGTGCAAGCTGGGGCCTGGGAGATATGTGGTAGGGAGCCAATTACGGTTAATTAGGTATGTTGCTGTTGGCTAGCCTGGGCTTCTGCTGCTGTGCAGGAATGTGTTTGCATCAGGGGAGCTTTGTAGCTGGCTGAGCCCTGAGAAGCTGCTGGGAGACGTACCCCAAGGACGCTTGGGTCTGGGTCAAGCTAGAAAGGCTCAGACCAAAAGCTCATGCTGAGGTTTCAGACCGGCTTACCCTGCATGTTGTCCCTGAGACAGAGATGGGGCATCAATCCAGGCTGCTCTTCTCTTTGGAGGGATGGGGTTATGCATCACTGCCCTTCCAAGCTGGTCCCTCAAGCTGCTGGTCCCTCATCCTCAGGTCCTTCTGCTCCATCCTGGCCATCCATGAACCACAAAGGGGACACTGAGCACTGAGAACAGTTGGGAGAGGGACTGATTGCGTTCCAAAGTGATGCCCATCCCACCCCACCCCAGCTTGTCCTGCAGCATATGTGAGGGTGCATATGGGGACGACTCCATTTCATAATCTGGGGGACTCTTCAGTATTCCCCATGCCGTGAGGGGGGGGTCCTGAAAACCTAGGGTGAGCCCCCTGCTCATGAGATGGTGAAAGCAAGGTGCCAGGACCCCTTTTGTCAGTGCAGGATGGGACCTGACCACCTGCAGCACACTCCTTCAGCAGATCCCTGTCTTGGCCGACATTTTTGCTTGGTTGAGAAATGGAGACCTGGAGTTTCCCCAACATGGAAGGAGACCCGGAGCCCAGGTTTTCACTGCCACCTCCTGCCTCTGCAGTATTGTGTGCAGGTCTGGAGCCCTCAATATAAGAAGGACATGGACCTGATGGAGAGGGTCCAGAGGAGGGCCACAAGGATGATCAGGGGGATGGAGCACCTCTGCTCCGAGGACAGGCTGAGGGAGCTGGGGTTGTTCAGCCTGGAGAAGAGGAGGCTCCGGGGAGACCTAATAGCAGCCTTCCAGTACCTGAAGGGAGCCTACAGGAAGGCTGGGGAGAACCTGTTTAGAAAGGCCTGCAGTGA